ATAATAATAATAATAATAATCACTATAATTGTAATCTGTCAAAAAGTTATCCTATAACTCTATAATTAACAGTAATCGTAAGCCGTGTAATTGAAGAAACTCTTTCAATGGTCTAGAATTTCCACAATTACATAACGAAACCTTTGTGCAATAAGATAAACTGCATATTTTTGCATAGTTAGACATTGACTTGAATTGATAAGTTCGTAGGTCAAAAAAACATTCATAGCTAACTTTATGCATTCAACTGTTGGGTGAATGAAATCAAAACTGTAAGTCCGCTGAAGAATCTGCATCAATGGTTCACAAGCTCTTGCACTGCATGCTCCGGTTCAGTCACATGATAGCTTTTTTGAAAAGGTCATTATTTTTCTTTCAATGGGCTCGAATCATCACTATTATATTTTTAGAACTGTCGTGCAAAGCTGAAAACCTGAACACGGTATGTTTTCTTGACTTCGAACTGATTTATTCAGGCTATTAGCTGGATCATTAAAATGAAATCCACCAACTTGATGAACACTCATGGTAGGTGATAGTCTCTATTATAATAGATTTAATAGAACCAAGCAATCAGGTTAATGAATTAATCAGCAATTAATCAGAACTCTAAATCATTAATAAATCACCAAGTACTTATTCAAGTGTACTTATTCATTAATACTTATTCACCAAGTTATGAGTCTAAAGTTATCATTCGCAGAGGTTATGAAATGGTATAAGGTTCAAGTGTTCAAATATGAGTGCTTTTATCAGTTTTCTGAAAAAATCTCTCTCAAGTTAATTGATTTTCAATATGATCAGCTTCTATTTCGGTCTGACTAGATCAGAGAGCTAGCTCGATTATTCATAAAATCAACTGTCATGAGTTCTCCGAACACACCAAAAACAAAAATTTCACTCACTATCAGTAAACATTTTAATGGATTCAAATTCTCAAATGTCCTCTCAACAGGTCGTTAGGTTCACAATGACAGCAGCTCATTAACTGATACTAACAATAGTCGTTCTTGAAACGACTAATTGTCAAACGACTTATTAAATCGCAGCTTCTAATGAATGCATTCGACCTTTTGTAATAGGTTTCTTTTTTTTTTGAGAATAGTTGAGCATTTTCCGCCAGCTAATAAACCTTTACTAACGGCAACTAAACTTACAACTGCAGAATATGGTCGTTACCAAATGACATTCACTGATCTAAATATTAGCCGAAAACGATTACACTACAGTATGATGAATTCTTGCATTTTGCTCATAAAAATTAACGATAGAAAATGGTCATTGAAACTGTCATAAAATTTCATTCTGCACTGATCAAGTAACTTTAATTGCATTTCCGAGCGATCACATTTTTAAAAGTTGTCATTATCACATTCTTTTTGTCTTTATTTGTTTTTTGTCTTTGCCGTTAGCCATTCAGGATAATTAACTATTCTTCCGATCTGCCCAATAAGATTTTCAACCCTTATGAATATGGCCTTTCAGAGAGGCTAATTGCAAATTCGTAAGCGTTCAGTGAATTTGAGACGTAGTTAGTTTAACTGGAACANTGTGTGTGTGTGTACGATTTTGCTTCAGATCAAGAAATTATTCAATGTTTACCTGTTGATTCAATCAGCAATTACAACAACTAATTACAACTTAGCTTCTGGCTAGCACAAATAACAATACTGCTTACATAAAATCAATTACATTACAGTATCATGCATCTAAGCGTGTTGTTGAGCTAAACGTAATGATAGAGAACAGATCATTTCTGCCCTAAACGATACTAAATTAACATGAAAAACTTTTGATGCACCCTTAAAATGTTACAATGGTATATGTTTAAATAAGCAAATTGTTGTGAAAATGTTGTTACAATTAAATTGAGCATTACTAGTTTTTAGTGCCAGGTTCTGGCTTAAATGAGTGATAGAATGTAAGAAGATGAAAGGATATTTGATCAAATGGTTGTTTCCTTTGCTAGTACCTAACATGTGCATCAATGGATGTTGCATACCAATTTAACAACTGAGCAATTGATCTTGCACTCTGAAGAATGTTCGAAATGTTCTCTGTCGAATTGGCTTTAGATACTGTTTAACTCCGATGATCAGAAATACTTTCGTTGATAACCAGAAGGCTTCCGAAAACATGAACAAAATCTGAGCAGAAATTTTGCTCGATCCATGTTCAGCGCATACGTGAGCATTAAGTGAACAGCCCACGAATCGATGATCGTTGTTTCATTGAAACAGCGAGCGTAAATGGCTTAAAAGTTTCTCTTGTGTGTCCACCGTCGCCATCTTTTTCGCAGGCTCCTCGCCTCAACCCCCCCTCCCCCCCCCCCACCTCTCCCCT